CCATCTAATTCGAAGTTCGATTTAATGTCGGCCAAAGTTTCGGATCTTGTTGACAATTCTGTCGGCATTGGAAGCGATAGATCGACTCGAGTAAGCGCTATGATTCGAGCTTTCCGAGACTCTTCGGACCGATCCTTCCAGGCTGACTCTGTCCTCCTCAGCTTCGCTGTCGTGGCCTTCCTCCTCATGAGGGACGATGTTTCCGGCGCCACCACGGCCAACGGTGTACATTGGAGCAATGGAGTCACGTCTTAGCTTGTCGCGCTGAAGCTCTTCGTCGAAGGAGAACATGGCACGCTCAGAGGCTGCGTGAGCGTTACCGACACCACCACGACCGCCGTAGAATGGACGAGCTTGTGGCTTGATGTCGTGGGTCTTTGCTTTGGGAGCTGCAACTTCAGCTGAGGTGAGCTTGCGATAGTTGCCGGCGCCGCCAATGCCGGTGTGGTAGTAGGCGGTATGTGGAGCTGGTTCGTAGGTGGTGAAGCCCATTGTTGATATTTTATAGTAGTAGTAGTAGTAGCTACTTAGGGTATGTATATGAGATAGGAGTGGTTGGAATAAGGTAGTGAAGCTAAGAAAGCTTTAAATGTCGATGGTAAGTTTTCTTCTCGTAAGAGATATTGAAGTCTTGATGGAAGCTAGATTGATAATCTTGAAGATGCTGGTGATGATAAGATAGAAAGACCAGGTATGTCCACCAGGAACCAGCTGCTTATATACCAATTTTTATTCCAAGACACCTGGGCTCGATGGCGAGTCCGAAAGTTCATTGCTATGACACATTACTTCATCGAAATAGCTAGATCGTTAATAATGGGAATGCAAAGAAGGCAGAGGGGCATACGGGAAGAAGCAAAGAAACAAGGCATGACCCTGTCCTAGCGCGCATTTCCCCAGATTTTCACAGCGGATGTGGCCCGAATGAAGTGCTGGTGTGCAGCCTGTCCAACCAGAGTGCCAGAAGCCTGCCATGAGCCCCAGCTTTTTTAGCTTTTGTGGTTTGTGGTTTGTTCTTTTTTTCCCTCTCGCTCTTCGTCCTCCCTTTCTGCGGTTCGGGAAAAAGCAAAGGACAGGCCCAAGGTACAAAATTTTTTTTTCTCATGCGGATTTTTTTTCGAAGAGCGCACCGCAGGCTGGCAAGCGCAGGTGATCCAACCTTAACGCTGGGCTGGCACCATTCGAACCTTCAATTTGCTTTTGGAACAGCCAGCTAATTGGGGATACCGTGTGATGTCGTCTTTGGGCGTCTTAATGATGTATGTTGCAGCCCCATGGCCTGGCCGCCCCTCTTGTCTGAGGAGGGAAAAAATTTTTGCTTCGGGGTTCCTCTGGGATGCGAAAAAGCTTCCTTCGGTAGCATCCTAAGTTGCCTGGAATGGAAGTATTATGTAAAGCTCTCACTTCACATTTATTACCGGGGAACAAACTTCTCGTTTCTGGGCGGATTAAACGAAAGCACTTTGCTGCTATATTTGCACAATTTTGAGGTTGACGTTTGAGTGAAGAATGTTTTGAGTGAATCGGTAGCTGCCCGGCCGTGAACCGGAGAGAGTGCACGTGGTGCCTGACCTCACAATGATTTTGTTTCTTCTAGACGCCGGTTTGCTTTGTTTCTGTTGTTGAGCTCAATGGTCCGAAATCGTTGAAGCCCGAAAGACATATCACGAACGCAACAGCCGGATGAAACGGGGCAGTTCATTCAATGCAAAAAAAAGAGTCACCCGCTTAGCAGACGTCAACCACGCAAAAACGCGATTCTCGTAGAGATGATGTTTTGTGAATCTCTCCATCCGTTGCATTCCTGTCGACGCTGTGCCCAGCATCGACAAGACAATGCGCCCGAAGAAAGGATCCCCGAATTCCAATTTCCCATGGGGTTCAGAGCATTAATTGTTTAGTAGCAGCAGTAGTGGTACAGAAATATATTACTTTCAGCATACCAAAACGTAACAGTAATATCGCCATTCCTTGACGCAATACGAAGCTGTTTCCTCATCATGAACGCATTTGGTTCTGTAGTCAATACACTTCTTAGGCAAGCAAGCGCAAGGCAAGGCAAGACAGGGCCAAAAAAAAAAAAAAAAAGCTTGGTTGGACTGACAAAAAAGCTGTTGTAGATGCCTTTCCCGGGGAATATTACGTTATGCCTTCGCATGGAATTTGCTCTCCCCGGCAGCCTCCGACTGAGCCGATGCCGTGTCAGGGGGCCAAAATGGCCAAATCCCCCCTTCCCCTTCGTAAGCTCGAAGGAATGGCCAATGGACACGGTCAGGTGGTTCTAGACGCCATCCAAAAAGTCGTCCTCTTACATAAAAGTTGGCTAAAAACAACCTAGAAGCAGCAGTCAGTCCTGGCTCGAGACGCCGATTCTTAGAGGTAACTTACCAGCTCCCCTCCTAGCTAGTAGCCCTACCAGTCCTACTTCGTACCACTTTGCCAGACCATGGCAAGCTTTTTGGATTCGGATGGGTTTGCGTGTGTGAGAGAGAAAGTGGAGTTCCCTCCGCGGAGAGTGATTGGAGGGGGAGGCTGTGGAACTGGAGAGCTCGCCAGCTCAACCAGAAAAAGGGCATTTCTATTACCCCCATTTTATCAAATCGTAATTGACATAAAGACGGTAAATTGCCCCCTTTTTGGCTGGTCTTTGCCAGGCCTTCTTGGTAAATTCCTCAAACAAGCTTCCCCTCATTCTTATGAATCTTATGGAATAGAAAGAAAAGAAATCAAATGAAGGAGAATTAACCCCCGAAACACGGGAATCTGGAAGAAGGCTTGAATCATGTCACGATGATTGATATTGGCCAACCAGCGTTGAAGCTGCCGCTGTCCGTTCCCAATGGCGATATTTGACTGGTGCATTTCGACAACAGCTGCAACACATCCGCCTCCAATGAGCTCCCGCCACTCAACCGTTTCATATCTTTCCATCCATTCGAATTCGAACATCTCTTCTGTAACACTCCGATTCCCAGACCCCATGCGTGTTCTCCGTTCGAACGGTTAAAAGCACACAAATGCTCCGAAGACACCATACATAGGAATCACATATTGCTCGATTGATGCATATTCTCGATCTTAACTAACGTGACAACGCTGCTGTGATATGATTCGTGTCGGCTTTGGTGCGCGGTATGTATGGATGTCTATAGACGGTTGCACAATGGTCCAATCCATGCATATTCTATTGATATATGGTTATGGACAGTTATATGTTTCGATCCTGAAACCGTTATTGGATTTCTATTACTTGAGAAATAACTCATCTCATCATGCGCATATGCTTCCAACCATCAATCCAAGCAACTGTTCCCATTAGAATTCTTGCACGATCATCGCCACATATTGCGGCATCGCAGTTTATTTTGTCCAGTTCTGAAAACATCCATTTCGAGAATTCCTCAAAGAAGGAAAAACTCCGGTGCGGAACCAAATTCAAAGCGTGAATTCTCAAGAAACTCTTGGTGTTTCTCCACAATCGAATTGTTTAACAAATTCCTTAAAGCGAATCCACATCCAGAGAGCCTCCACTGTGCAAACTCATCGAAATGTATCGGCGTGATCCCGTCGCATTAGCTCAAGAGGTCCGACATCGACGCGAAACACCTTAAAAATCCCAGGCTCCACTTGAAAGAAAAAATTTAGCGCAGCTCCGCCAGATTTAGATCTAACCTCGATTAGGTGTTTTCCCCAGATTCTTTTTTGTGAACGGTGGATCCATGGGATCGAATTCCCCCTTTTATGGAGATGGTGTTTCTTTTCCACACACCCAAGAGTGTCAGGCTTTTCTTTTTTCCTTCGATGGGCAGCTGAGCGCTCTATTTTTTCGGTTAAACGCTGAAGCTGGGGCTGTCAGAGCCTGTTCGTCAGCTCACGCAGCCGCGGCGCAGGATGAAGAGAAGAAAAAAAAAAAAAGAGAGGCAAGCATGGTGCCATGACTTTCTTGGAAGCGAGTAAAAGGTAAACGTAAACCCCGATTTTCAGATTTAATTTATTTTTTTAAAACTTCAAAATTAAATAGAACAATCGCCGAATCCTCCAAAATTTCCATGTTTCGCGGATGCTGACGAGATGTTGAGCTCATACGCAGAGATTTTTTTTTCTCTTTGAACCTCATGATCAAAAAGATTAATATCGCCCCATAGCATGATATCATTAATCTCCTTTCGATATTTCACGAACTTCTGTTTGAAGCCGAATGCGATGGAATTTTCTACCAAATCGGCTTGGCAGTAGCTAGCCCAAAGGCTTTCGTGCCCCGTGCAGTGACCCGGAAATAATATCCCATCACAAGGTGAGTTCTCGCAAAGAGGACTCCAAAAGAGAAAAAAGAAGCCATACTCGTATTATTTTGCGTGATCACTACAGTACACATACACGTTTCCCATCGTCGGAATATCTCCATCGGCTACAGTACATTACTCGTATCCAATCACTCAACCCACATTCACATTCAAATTCACATCATCAGATCCACATGGTGTGCAAATCTACATGTATCACTCTATTGTTCCATAAAAAAATAAAATAAAAGAAACATCCCCTTTTAACCAAGCAAGTTTAACATTTTCAACATTCGTGTCACTCGGTCTGGACGTCCAGCAAAGCATGCTTAAGCTTCCCTGCACATCAAAGCACGATACGTATATCGATACGAGGATGTGATAGTGCAAGAGTGAAGTGCAGGAACGCCATTGTTAATACTTTTTACCCCAGATTTTCTTAAATGTTCCCTTTCCTCCCGAAATCAACTTCTCAATTATTAATTAACTAGACTACCTATAGTTTAGCTGCTTTATATCTCCTGACTCGAGAACCCCATTAACGTTTAGCTCCTCTTTTTTACATTGTCCAGCTGGTCCCACTAATTTGGTAGACTTGATCGATTGCTTAGACTTAACCACCTCGCTAAATTAACAGCCAGGAAGACCGAAAGAACACACCTTCAAGACGCACATCCCGCCGGACACTCACCCTATATCGCAACAACAGCGCGAAGAGCCCTCTTAGCTCAATCGGAAGAGCGCCAGACTTTTAAACCAGGCCATCTGGCGGTCGTGAGTTCGAGCCTCACAGAGGGCGTAAGCGTATGCTGTTGTAGGTTGTATTCGGCTTCTTGAAGTTGGATATAACTCTTATTTTTGTTTTTGGCAGGTGGGGATGAGTAAATGTTGGTTTTTAGTCATATTCATATTCTTGTTGGGATTCACTAGTAAACCGGTTACGAAGCTTAACTATACTAGCGGACAGCTTCTCTTTTTGAACAATTCCGGGACTTAAGTACCATAGTTCGTATCTGCCTTGAACCGTGGATAATATTTTTCGTAATAACTATCCCGAAGTCTGGGGTACATAACTACCGATAAAAGCGTTTACGTATCACGAGTTTTCCAGGGTAGACGTACATGTACGTTTAAAAAAAACTGTAGCCATTCCCAATCAAGAAAGTTATCCAGTTTAAGCAGCAGCAGGCAACAGGTACTTGTTAACAGGCATCTAGGTATACATGCATTGCATTGGATCTACAGGTCGAAAAGAATTGAACATGCAAGCCGCATGTATTAAGATTCCGATTCCCGATTCTAGCCAGCCCTCCGCTTCCGCTGCCTTCCAGTACTCTTACCTAACAGATTCCGTCCCGTCCCATACAATAGATGGGTCACCCGGGCGAGAAAAAAGCCACAGATTCAACACATGTATAGAGATGACCGGCATCAGCGATCGGTAGAATGGCTTTATACTTGTTTCGAACCAGACTTGGTAAGAGGATCTATACATGCAATACGAGACTTCTATACATGTACCGTCGTAATGTCTGCGTTTTATAATAGTTATCATAGACGGGGGCTTGTATATGTGGTTTAATTGACGACGTCACGCTACACAGTAGAGCGGATACTTGTATATTCCGTGTTAAGTTTAAGGAAGGGTACAACCAGAAAGGTACCTAAGTGGGTATCCTGCATTGCATGAGAGCTCGAGAGAATCGACATGCATGAAGTGATGGTCTAGATCTATAGTACCGGAGCTCAGTAGTGGAAGAGCGGGAAGTCAACTGTGGTCATATGCATGTTTGATAACCGATATGCACAGCTTGAATTTTGAGCGGACTTGAATTCAAATTACCTTCGAAATTGAAAACCGGTTTAAATTACTTAAGTTTACGATCTTTGCTATTTTGGACCACAGGTTTCATTTTGGTAAATAACGCGCTGACAGCTGATTTCGAGGACCTTAAACTTTGTAGACGTGTCTCGTAATTACTGGAAGTTGGTTGAATATCAGCATAAACCAATATTATGTCTGAATATGCATATGATTTCGGATTATAATGGAAAAGCTCGAATTCAAGAGCATTTGAGAAATCATCAAGGAATATGAATAGGGAGAGGAATTACCCAAGGAGTTTAGGGACTGCAGCAAGGGAGGTAGGGCGAACTGGTGTTTTTCTGGCGAGGATTCTACTGACAGCAGGTTTGGAACTGATCATGATGGTGAGGATGGGGAATATGCATGCGTATGCATATATGCTAGTAGTGCTGGGGATGAGGACTGTGGGGCCGAATATGATGAAGATGAGATATTGAGGCCTGAAAGTGGATATCATACGTGAATTCCGCCCACTAAACCGACTGAATTGAATGACGAAGAAACACTGTGATCACAGGAATAAATATTTCCAAACCATCGGGCGGCGAGATTTCAACTAAGGTAGGTACCTGATCCCGGAACCCCACTTATTCAGAAAGTATATATTATAATAGAAGGTTAATCAATTAATTTATCTATAGCAAAACCGTCTGATAGCCTTCCCGAATGCCTATGCCCACGCTACAACCCTCCTCCTGGAAGATATCGAAAAACCAGGTGACCGATAGACTCTAAAATTCATTCTCTGTGATCCGCTATGATGACCTCCCGACTACAAAGACCGCGGAACCCAAACAACCCCAGTATCGGATCGATGTTGAAAAAGCCTTCCTTGAAGGAGTATGGGGAAGGCTTCCTACCGAAGTATTTGAATTAGCTTTAAAAAGTTTGCCTTCACCGATTAGCGCGGAGGCATACGATTATAGAGTGGCATTATTTGAGAAAGCGGATTCATATTTTATATGACAAGATAAGATATATAATACTTGGCCGCTGGAATTTATATTCATAGATATTCATTCAAGATTTCAATTACTCTTCCTAGCCCGTTACCTGTAATAGCAAAACTACAACTAAGATGCCAGCCAATTATGACCTCCAGACCCACCCTCCTCGCTCCCAGCATCACTCGAATCCAAGTTTTCATAATACCCCTCCTTCTCTCTTATTCTTCTGGGGATTCTAACCTTTCTGCCTCTCTCCTCATCATCATCGCCCTCTCCATTCCAATGATGGCGATTCACTACTTTACTACCCCTCAAAGTCCTTTCACCCAAGAAATACCTGGACCTCCAATCCAGCTGTCCCATTTTAAAGGTATTCCATATAGCTTTATTATGCGCATCACGAGTGTCCATAACCCTGATAGGTTCATCGTGGAAAAAGAATTTCAGCGTTTTTGCGAAATGTTCTTTTAGAGTTGTTTCATCATATCCCCAGGCTGAGGAGGGAGTAGTGGAATTGATCATGACGGCGACGGATTGGAGTCTACAAATTAATCAGCATCAGTATAACGTATTCACTGATAAGAGATATAGGGCTATACTTCGGAAACTCCAACCTCACATTCCCACAGTCTATACCACCAACCTCCTCCTCCCACCCCCTAAAAAACATCCCCATATGATGAACATACGGCATCATAATCCTAACCTTCTTAACACCGACTTTACCAATAACCTTCCAAAGTCTCTTCATAAATATACCGGTCCAGTATTTCATTCGAAGGGTATCCCATCCGTTCCCCATTGCGATTTCAAGAACTTCTAGGTTCTTGCATGTATATAGGAGGGTTTGGAGAGTATTTAAGTATTGTTCTGCTTCGACTTGAAAGGATGGGTTTTGTGGGTTTTCGAATGTCGAATGTGAATTTGTTATTGAATGCTGTCCGGGAACGGTTTGGATTGAACCGTTATTGTGGTCTGGTTGTCGAGTCCATGGGAATATCTGATTGTCGCGGGATGCTATAGGATAGTAGAAGAGAATAGAAAGTTTAGTCTTGAAACCATTCTTATATATCAAGTATCCCTATGATATTGACTAAACAGCCCGCTATGTAAAATAATAAAAGAAAGTATCACACTAACCCCCCAATCCACCTGGGAAAAAAGATTCACTGGGAATAAACAACCCCCTAACATTCCTCAACATAACCGTATTCCTTCCCAAAGTCTTCATCTGCACCATCGCCTCTTCAAATCCATACACCAGCTTGATTTTCTTAGGGAACGCAAAATACGAAATAATCACATTGTTGAAATGACTATTGACCAATCGAAGTTCTGAGAGTTGAGTGGTGGTGTTGTTGGTGTTGCGGTAGGGTTCCAGGATCTGGAGGAGGATTTCGGGGGGAAGGTACATTTTCATTCTACTTTGGATTCGATTCTGGGGGGGTTCGTATATGATATTGATTTGTACCAATTGAATTGATCAGGGATTCAAGGAAGTATTCGAGTATTAGGTATATATATACCGGTACGTTAATAAAATTTCCGTGGGATTGAACGTATACCTCGAAGGGGATGATGCTTTTGCCAAGGGCGGGGCAGCCGGCGGGTTTATATTCCTGTCTTCAACAAGGCTGAATACTTTGACATTTCATAGTTTTGGAACCAATTAGAGACAAGAATAGAATATGAATTGTTGGTGCCAGGATCTATTTATAAAAGGACTATTTGAGAAGCTAGGTAAGTAAGTAATCACAAGGATTCGATCTAACCCACTGTGCCGGGTTCTAGATTTTAGGCATCGATCGGCGAATTATCGCGGTTCGGATCCTGATTGGGGTATACTCATGATTCTTCAAGATAGATAATTGCGTTTTCGCCGAATATGAATTCCATTAGGACATTGGCACTATGCAAAAGGCGGTACTAGAAGGGTAAGGTAAGGTAAAGGTAATATACAGTATCAAAAAGGGAAATAAAGAAACAGCCCTTCAGCCCTTGAAAGAGATATCGTAATCTCGAAGTCCTAATATTGAGGGCTTCGACATCGACATTCACCACAACAGACCACATTTCACAAAGTTCCCATTAGGCTAATCGTCGAATTTCAACGTCTCCTAGCATCAATCTGGTTCTTAAGATAAACGAGACCTGTTTAAACCACTATTAGCCAAAACGCCCATCCCAGTAACCCCAAACCCTCCGAGATATATATTAAATAAAGAAATAAAGAAAACTAACAAAGGAAAAAACCCACCCCAACTACACACACATCCCCTAATACTCAAATCACTGAGATAGAAATAAAATTCTAAGGAAATATATCATACCCAGAATAGTAGCAACGTACTTAACAACCACAGTCTTCTTATCCCCCCCTCCAAGGGACAACAACCACCCAAACCAGCTAACTCTGGCTTTTCCATCACGGCTGAAATTCGGTTTCTTCTCGAGAAGCATACGGTATTGTGAGAGTTTGCTGGGGATGTATGGTGGATATCTGGCGTCCAAGACCATTTCGAACCAACCACCGGGTTGTCGGACAGTCGTACGGTGGTGGGAGAAGGCATCGAAACCGAATTTGTCTCTGTAGTTACCCATACCGGATTCACCGACTCCGCCGAAGGCGAGCTTGTGGGATGCTCCGTGCCAGATTGTACTATTTCCATTTATTAGTTTCTTATTTAGAAGGTAATGTTTTGGGAGATAACTTACTCGTTGACTGTAGCACCACCTGATCTTGTATGGCCCAAGACTAATCTTCCGTCAGCATCACATCCCATATCACTCCACATCAGTAAAAAAAGACTTACTGTAGTTTGCCTCCTTCTTATCCGTAGTAAATGTATACAATGCCAACGGCGTATCACTAACCCGATTGACAAACTCAATCGCCTCATCCAAATCATCAATAACCACATACGGCAAAACCGGTCCAAAAATCTCATCCTTCATCAAAGCATCATTCTCATCTTTGACCTTCAC